TATAAAGTTGTACTAAGCTTGAGACAATTATTTTGGGACGGAGGGAGAATTTTGAAACAAGTTTGTAGATTGAAAAAATGTATCCATGCACGCATGATACATGTTCATATCATCGTTCAAAAAAATAAAGTTAGTCACACGCTCGCCGCGTATGAACGTAGTACCCCGCGCACGGCTGTTTGGGTGCAATGGAGTTTAGACTGTATTGTAAACCTTTCGAAGGCTGAGAAGCCTCCTTGGCTTAATGAAATCTACCTTTACCTCGCGAAAAAATGATAAATTTATAGGAAAATAAATCAATAAATAAAGAAGAACGTGTGAAACACCTAGAAAGGAAACACATATAAAACAAAAGAAAACAAAAAATGAATATGGTTTTGCCTAGAAAAAGATCAAAGAAGAAAAACCAATAAAAATCGCTTAAAATGAAAAAGAAACCATAATAGATTCTGGACTTGTGTGTGAAACGGAAATTATCGGTATACATGACCAGATGGTTTGCTCTTTTGCCTTTTGGTCTTCCGTTTCTATAACTCATAATAGATTCACACTTTTTTTTCTTGATATTATAGGTTAGTATTATTTAATGTGGGTTTGAATGTGGTGGAAACACTAAACACACAATGTATATAGCGAGGCAATCGCCCATGGGCACCGATATGTGGCTTAGGCAGTTCTCTATGGTTTTTCGTGTTATTTCTCCATTTTCTCTACTAGATTTCCATGTCCGAGTTGTCGCGGTTTATGTCCAGTTTTCACGTTTTGCATTTGGCTTTCGTGGTTTTCTTTCCTTTCTTTCCTTTCTTTTCATTTTTCATTTTTGTTCTCTTTCCTTGTTATTTTTGTCTTTTGTTTGCTTTTTCGTTTATGCTTGTTCGTCTTTGTTATTTTTTGAAAGTTACATGATTGAAGAAAGTATATTTTTAACACCACTCAACATTTTTAAAATTGGACATTGAGATGGTGGTGGGTGGTGGGGTGGAGATGGGATATGAGGGTTGGCGTGGTCCAGATCGAGAGCTCATACGTATACCCGAGTGTGCTGGAAGTAGCGCCATCGTCATGTGCAGGAGGTGCAGAGGTCGAGGAGGCTGCGACAGATATGGAAATCGACTAGGGCTGGGAAGTTGTAGACTGAAGAGAAAGAGAGATGATTGTAAGTCGAAGCCACGTCAATCCAATTGAAGGACGAACGACGATAAAAACGAAGAAATGTAGAGATCTCTCTTCTCTCTCCACAACCGTCTGGGCTATGCACCTCCCATGTCAATTCCTTGAGTCACGCCCACGCCCAACCGCCTGGATCTCTCTGTCACGATCTTGCAATGGATTCATCACGTTCCTAGGCCCACCATTTCCCTCATTAGACAATTGGCAGTTGGTTCTTTCCATGATGCGGCATTTTAATGGACTAATCAACATATATGTGGTGTTTCGATATTTATTTTAGTTTCATTGGGTCGTAGGAATGCATTAAGATGGTATATATGTAAGAAACTACACGCTAGCCAAGTGTGCGATCCACCCACTTTTCATGTTAAGACCCAAGTGCATTGAGTTTAATTTTTTGAAAGATCCGTAGTTTGCGTGTAAATTTTGGGAGTTAGAGATTTAGTTTCTCTTTTCCGTGGGTTGTAGGGATGTGTTAAGAAAGCTCAAGGAGTGGATTGATGTGGTGTGTGCGCAACTACTTATTGGAAGAAAAATATGAAAGAAAAGAAATGTAATGCTGATGGTTATTGATTCATGAGAGCGGACTTGAGAATCTCATTGCGACGGATACAGACAAACCATGAAAACTCAGATACCAAAGTAAATTTTTATCTAAACTAGAGTAGAACTAAATTCGAGTACAAGTTCATCCACAAACACACCCGGCTTCACCTACCACACGAAACGGAAGGAGGCTACCTTTGTAGCACCCAACAATACCACACCGAGGCATCTCCATCACGTCCGTCCTAGTCTCCTTTCTTGGATCATACACCCGCACGACGCTAGTCCCTGGTACAAAGAGCACGATCCTCCCGTCGTCCAGCTCCATCAGTAGTTGTGCCAGAGTTTCCCCTTTACGGTTACGGTCGAGAACAGAGTCGAGACGTAGAGATGGCCCCCTCGACCACTCTACCCCCTCCCCCGTGTCCGTCAGGGAGAGGGAGTACATGTCGATGGTTTTGCATTGGTAGTTGTGATGGACCATGATGAGGCGGCCATTCAGCTCGGCCAGGCTGAAACGCAGGAGTTGGTCGCAGTGGCCCGGACGCTCGCTGCTCAGCGGGCCCCGGATGGGAGCGGGCCTCCACTCCTCCTTCTCGAGGTCGAACGCGGCGACGCTGTCGTAGTCCGGCAGGCAGCGCCCGTTGTGATTGGAGGGCAGGAAGTAGGCGACCCCGTTGACAACGGCTCTGCGTCGGGGGATCGAGTCGACGCGCATCGGAGGGCTCTGCGCTGGCCTCCAGCGCTGGCATTGGCGGATGTTGTTGCGGCCGGCGGCGGCTCCGATGGTGAAGACCTCGCACGCCTGCTTGCCGCGGACGTCGGTGATGTGGAGCACCTTGTGCTCTCCCGTGGTGGGCACGTGCCCGACCAAGTACAATGAGGCGGTGCAGCCGGTGTGAATTTGTGGCGCCGTGGCGCCGCCGGGTTGGAGGACGTCGGTCATGGTGCCACCGTCTGTGGCGTCGCCGGGTTGAAGGACGTCGGTGGTGGCGCCTGTGGCCGGGTCGAGGACCTGGACTGCGCCTGCGCCGCCACCAGGTGTAGGCTCCACGAAACAGAGGAGCTCGCCGCCCACGCAGAATCGACGCCTGGCTAGGGCTAGCCCGTCCATGCACCTCAGCACGGCGCCGGTGGACACGTCCACGAGGTTGATGTCGACTAGTTGGTGACCAGGGTGGTGGACGGCGACGACGAAGATGGAGTCCGCGCGGGAGCGGGTCGCGTGTGCGGCGACGAAGAGCGGGTCGGAGAGCATGGACCGCCACGACCGGCAGATTGTCCGGAGGCGGGCGAGAGACTTTGACGGCAGCCGCAAGAACACCTCCTGCAGCTCGTCCGCGGGGAGAAAGTCGCCGTTGTTGGCGCCGTCGTCGGCCGGAGCGGCGGGGCTCCGGGGCTGGGACGCCATTGACCGATGGATGTCCAACATGTCGCGAGTTGCACAGCGTATTTAGTATACCAACGAATCAAGCTCACGCGCCTGATCTCGCCGACGGCCGGAAACGTAGCTAAGCTAACTAATCGACTTGATCAATATATATATATATATATATATATATATATATAGTAGGCAGGACATAATAAGCTAACCTACACGAGTATTATTTCTAATCCTACTAGGTAATGAGGTAATGGCTATCAAACAAACACGGACACGGGCTTAATTTCACAGACGGCTCGGTGGGGACTGGGCCACTGGGGAGACATAGCCGAGTCGGACACGACTAGGGCCAATCGGAGTCCAGTTGGAATCCGAGTTGACTCGGAGCTACGGTGCAAACTTCACATATTAATTTTATCTTAAGTATAAAACACTTGGAAATACGCTTTATACTAAAATATTGATAATATTTAATACTACCTCTATACTAAAATATAAGACCTTTTTTTAGGCTAAAGTAGCCTAAAAAACGCCTTATATTTTGATAGGGAGGGAGTACAAATTTGGTCAAATTTTATGAAGTTTGACTTCAGACAAGCCTAATACACAAAGTAAAAAGAAACGAAAACACTGTCAGATTTTTAAGCATGAAGAATTTAACGTTATTGATGGAAATTTATGTTGGCGCGATGATGGCAAATTTAGTTTGCAAGGACGACAATTTTCTCACGAAAAATAAACTGAGGCGGATTTGCCATACTCGCCAACTAAACTTGACATCCTCGGAGAACGTAATTTGCAATGAAAACATTCGATTTTCCATGGTCAAACATCCTACTTCAGATTTGTACCGGAGTCCAACAGAATGGGGAGTACTGCACTAAAACATTGTCGAGGCAACTAGTGCTCCACTCCTCTACGCATGAATACTATTGTTGTTCATGGGTGTCCCAAAGATATGAGAGAAGATGACTGATCTTATTTCAGATGAGCATATCTGCTCGATCCACCTAATCTAAAATTAGTAAGTGCCCTTAGTTTTTGGCCTCCACAACAAGCTATTGTCACTTCATGCTGCAGCACTCATGATGTCTAAAAGGAACATATGAGGGAAGGATACAACACAAGCCTAACACGGTCATGGCAACCATTCTAGGTCCACTTCATGCGGGGTCATTTGGAGGTTACAATCGAGCCATGGGTTAGCAATTGATCGATTAACGACATCACGAGAAGTGATACTGTCAAACTTGTCCGCTGCAATAGCGGCGGTGTGCTGATGGAGTATACAGGAATGCACGGGGATTGCTTTGTAGTTTGTGACCATGAGATATAAGCCCCCATGGGTCATAGCACAAGTTGGTGACGTGATAATGCCATCAACATCTCTAGTAAAGCATGATTCAAAAGTGCTACACATGAAGCACCGATAGTTAGGAAGGGATATCCCATGCTAGTCGTGACGTTCATTCCATTAACAATCGTTAGAGATGACAAACACTAAAACACACAACACTGACTGCAATGTTAGCTTCCATATAAATTATGCTGAAATAAAAAATAAATAAGAAATTAAACCACCAATCATTTGAGGTGGTTCGAGAATGATATAACTTTCTCACTCGTATCGACGTAGTCAAAGTTGAGTGCCTTGGAGTGACCTGTCTGGACGTTAGTTTCTCCGGGCTATGAGTAGTGTTGATGGTGGTAAAAATATAACTTTTCTACAAACCATATGTATAAATGCAAGATGTTATGATAAAGAGAAAGAATAGCAAGAATAGCGCTTGCCATAGGGAGTTCCCAAGGAAAATTGTGGAGCCATCAACCATGGAAACATGTGCTCTCAAAGAGGACAAAAATAAGAATCCTGATGATGATATCAATAACTAGGAAAAACAAGTTTTTTTTTTGCGCTGAGAGGAAAAAAGGACTTAATGGAGGCATGAAAATATAGGACAACATAGATGGGGAAAATAAACTTAATGATGGCATGCAAATATAAGAAAGAGAAACTTCACAGTGGCATGAAAATATATGGCAAAATAGATAAAAAATACCTAATAGTGAGATTATCTGCTCTCAAAGAGAAAGAGAATGAGAAAAACAACAATGACAATAATAACTAGGAATAATAAGACTTAATGATGACCTGAGTAGATATGAAAAAATAGATAGAAAAAGATAGACTCTAAGGGCAATATGAAATGGTATGCAAAAGGAGACTTAAAGGTGACATTAATAGATAAGAGAATAGATAAAAACAAATTTAATTATGGCATGAAAAGATATGAAAAAATCGGTAGAGGTGGTTGGAGAAGAAGATAACCTTTTTGGTCAGGTCAATGCAGTCAAAGTTGAGCATTCTTGAGTGACTTGTTTTGGATGTTAGTTCGTCTGAGCTATGAGTAGGTTGATGGTGGACTGGTGGTAGACGAAATATAACTTACGTTCTTATGTAAGTGGATTGATTTGTTTTCTACAAACCCTATGTATGAATGCAGGATGTCATGATTATCTCTACTCCTAATGGAGCATTGGTAGTCTCCGCCGGTCAATTTTCGTCCCACCACTTTCGTCCGGTTTTTTTTCGTCGGTTAACCTTCGCCCACCTCCCACCACCCCGTGCAAAATGAAAAAAAAACATACGCCACCATCCGTCTCTCGATCCACACGATTTCCATGCGGCCGCCCTATCTCCCTCGTCTAGCGATGCAGCGCCGCCCCAATCTCCCCGCTCCGCCGCCGCCGCCTCAATCTTCCCACTTCGCCGCCGCCGCCCCCCGCCTTCCACTATCACCCGCCGCCGCCGCCGGCCCGTCCATCTTTTGAATCCAAGTTGGACATGAAGGGGAGAGGCAGGGGTCAGCAAACGCAAAGGGGCAGGGGTCACCATAGTTGTTAATTCGTTTTTTCTGAATTTAGAGCGATGCAATATAAGTTTATGAATTTCTGTCAACTGAAGATCATGCATAGTAGTGGTCAAGGTGTCAAATACTTTGTTTTTGCTTTGCATCAAACCATTTCTTTTGAGCTCTGGAGTTTAGAGTCAGCCCCACCTTGATTTTCCTCCGTCCTCCGCCACTGCTCCTAAATGTATTGGAATTCAGCAGGTCATGAAAATGGACGGATGTGATAGTGAAGGAACCAGAGGGAATGATACTACTGTATCAGCAATGGTGTTGATAAGCAAGTACTCCACCTAATTTAAATTTTGTATCTTTCTTTTCACAAAAAACTATCAAACTTGTGTACTGTCATGCCTTCTAATTTTTCTTGTTAATTTGCAAATTAAGTTGTCATATTGGTTGGGCTCATTTTTCTGTTTTTTCTCTGCAGGGGAAGACAACATCCGGAAATAGTCGGTCGTGCCGGTGTGAATGCTAACGTGTTGGGCCACATGGATCAGGCCAGTGAAGAACACGAGTAGGGTGGCCAAGAACTTTCTAAACAAAACCTGTTGTCTTCAATGGAGTTTTCCCTAGATCCAGGTATGTGCCTTGACGTGGTGCCAAGATTATGTTCATGTAAGTCTTTTTGATTGATTTACATGGTAGCAGACTGCCAATATTTAGCGATGTGGATTCAGAGAGATTCAACGATGCTCTCGTTTGTGAAATCAGGATGATTCCGACAACCCCGCCATGCGCCTCCCTCGACAGTTGCCCTTCTGTCTCCAGAGAGTGAGGAACTTGAGGACCTTGATGAGATACACGAGGGTGTGGAGGAAGCTAGATTGTAGAGTTTGCTGTGGTTTCGATCAGTAAAGTTGGGTGGAACCAGGAGGAAAACAATTCCTTATAAAAAAGACAGATTGCAGGAATTCATTGATGGGAAAATAGTGGGCCGGCGGTATCTGTAGAATCGACGGGACAAATGGACCCTTAGGCCTCCGGGTGGACAAAGAAGTATGTTTCAATCGATGAATTGTTTTTTGTTGGGTTGGAGATAGCTAACCAAGCCCAGCCCTCACGAGGCAACCCTACAACACAACCAGCCCCAACCCGTCCCTCGTCTCGTTGGCGGTGCATTGCTGCCTCCAGCCTCTGGTCTACCGCCACCATCTGGACCAGTCCCTGCAACCCGCCAGAGCGCCGCTGGCCGCCGCCCCACCCATGTCATGTCAACATCTTCGATCACACGGTTGTGCCTGCCTATGTCTTCACCGGCAGCGCCGCTGGAAGCGTAAAACACAAAGCAAAGATGAAGCTCTCGCATCATACCTCAAACTCTTCGTGCACCATTTTTTGTTATATATGTTACTATGTGGTTGCGGCACAATAGACCCTTATAAATATATTTCTTTCAGGTTCTAGATGAGGCCGGCCAACTAAGAAAAATCTTTTGTCCGATAGAGATGCAGGTTTGTCACCCTTCCCAAAACCAAACATAATTTCCATGTTACATCTTCTGTTCTGTTCTACACATAAGCATTTACTTTGCTTGAGTAATAAAATGTCTTTAACAAAGTGTTTGTGCTTATGATGAGCAAGCAACATTTTATCAAAACACTTAACTCTTTAATGTTGGAATATAAGAATAATTACCAACCACACTGCATTTTCAGGGGCATACGTACTTGAACTCTTTTCATATGTTGTTCTCAAAACCATGGCTCATAGATTTATTGGTAATTATTATTCAGAAGGTTTCCTGGTAAGTCAAAGACATTTGTGATTCAGAACATCGAGAGTATGGAGGGTTTGAGCTCAGAAAGAAGTTTCTTTTTGGTTACCACCTTATGAATATATTTGTAGATAATTCGTTTTATTTGTTTCTGGTCAGATTTTAGTCGCAATTTGGTCATATCATTTGAGACAAGGACATCATATCTTTTGAATTTGTTTAGTGACCCAAATTGGTAAGAAGATTCGGCAAACTCGGTATTGTTCAACACTAAGAATCTAGCTTATTGACAAGACGATAAAAATATGTTGATAATATTGGTCACTAACTCCTTATTCTAGAGAAGTCTTGACATCGGACAGTCATTAGGCGACAACATCAACGAGGAGCGGCGCCGCATGGACAACGTCGTCGGCAGCACC